TGGTGCAAGTCAAGTTATTTTTTTTTAAATATTAAAGTCTCATAAGTTTGTACACGACACACATACATACACGCACGTACTTACGTTCGTAGGTGTAGAAATAAGGTAATTCAAGTGATTCATTTGCATAAAAGAAAGAAATAAAAGATTGAGATATTTGGTGTCCTCAAATGCGTAGAAGCGTGTTTAACTGAAACTCTACTTACACTACGCAACTGCAGACTGTTCCATTGAGTTGAACGCAGAAAAATAGGAAAGTTTATTAATGGTCAATAAATGACCAATCTGCTTCCTTATTAATGCTTGATGTCTCACTTCCACCAACCACATACTGCTATTTACTTTTTTTTTTATATGTAGTAATACATTAAATCCCCGTTTGGCACCTATTTTTTCTCATTCTCATTATTTTTCTCTTTCTTCATTTCAACCACACATTCTATCAATAAAATAATATTATACATAAACCTAAAAATTCTCCTTACTTTTTAACCACATATTCTTCCATCAATCACTATTCAAAAACACACTTTCTACTAAAATGGATGTCAAACACCCCCTAAATTAGACAATATTATTTACTAAAGATGGTAAATAGCATAGGAAAGTCCTGCTGAACTCTATGAGCCTTGTGTTAATGAAATGAAGAAAAAAAAAATCCTTGAAAAACATGTGTTTTTGATTAAAATTAAAAACACATGGTACCAATGCTGTTTTAGATCTAGCTTATGAGATGGTCGAGCATGTCTCCTAATTGGATTGTCAAAAGTCGAAGTTGGCCTAACACGATCATTTTTACCCCTAAGGTCTACCTACTAAACATGTCATAAGAGGATTACATAAGTATTACGCCCTTCCTCGATTCCACTAAAATGTGGATTAAAATTCAATGTAAAGTCAATATTTAATTTTAAACACATATTTTGATTAATTCATAACTTTTCTACTAGCAAACGTGCTCGTCGGTTTGGGAGGCTCATGACTCGACTCGAAAAAAGCTTGAGCCGAGTAGGCTTGGAGCTCGTTTATACGAGTCAGCTTGGGTCAAGCCTAAAAAATGAGATTTGACTCGAACCCGGGCCAATTCACGAGTAGTACGAGCCCAAAAACGGGCAGCCCGTATGTGGGCTCATGTGGTCTTGTGTGCATAATTAATTTTGTAGTTTGTAAATTAATGATCAATTTTTCGTCTATTCGAGTAAAAAAAATTGAAAAATTCGTGAGTCGACTCAACTCGACAAGGCTTGGGCCAAGCCCAAGCTAGCTCGAGCCTTTTTGTTGGCAAGTCGATATCGATCCCCGGTCTTGAGCTCGCGAGTCGGCTCGACTTGTTTTCATCACTAACACATTCTATTAACTTTTATCAAAATCAACTAAAAATTATTTTTTGTCTAAACCAAATAAGAGCTATAGGTTTTCAACGCAGCAAAATATAGGAGGCCCCACTGTTACCTTGTACAGACAACATAGACCTTATGAGGAACCTCTGTGGATCATAAAGAAATTGAAGTTTGGTGGGCAATGAGATGTTACAATTTTGTGAAACTTTAAACCTCATGAAATTGAAAATCTAATTACTTAATTGCCAGATCCTCCATATCAAATGACCAAGAGAATTATTAAATGCGGAACATACCTTAATTTATTGGGAATGTTTCTTTATCACTGGATCTTGATTTCAGGTCTTAAGCTTGAACTGCAATCTTTTCATGTTTGGACTCTTCGCTTTTAATCTTGAATTTTCGCCTCCTTTGATTCTTTAATTCTTGTCATTGATATTGCTTCTTCATCCACAGTCTTGATTCTTGAACTCCTTCTTCTTG